GTGCCACCTCCTTGTAGCACGGGAGTCTGGTTACCTGTCTCTAGGTGAGTGCGCTTTCTTGCTGGAACATGCCCACAGAAGCGCCATCGGAAGTGGCCCCTGGCACCATGGAGCAGCTCAGAGTTAGAGAAGGTTTTCGTCTAAGGATGAAGGAGCCAAGATCTTCCTCTGAAAACTCCTCCTCTTCTGAAGACAGCCAGCCCTCTTCCCTCATGGTCTTCCAAGGGGTTTGTTAGCCAAACTCTTTCAGGAAACGGCCCTGCATTCCCTGGTCTGGGTCAGAGGGACCGACATGGCCTCTCACCTGGACACCGTATGTTAGTATCGCCTAAATGTGGCTTAGACCAGATTTACCCTGGACTCTCTCAGCCTTCCTAGGCTGACCTCCTCCCTGCCTTGACCTTCTCAATCAACCTTTCTTAAGTCCCCTCTGCCTGCCTTCCCTCTCCCTTCCCCCTTCTTCCCACTCTCATCCTTCCCCCACCCCACCCCTCCTCCTCTGGTGGAGGTACGAAGGTCAATGTCTGGGCAGTCTTCAGCTCTGGGGACCCTTTGAGGTCACTTGCACACAGGACTTGGGGATGACTGTGGAAGACAGGTCTGGGGGCCTAAATCTAGGGAAACCCAGAGAGTTCCAATCCCAAGGAATTCTCTATCCTTATATTGACAAATCGTGTTTTTCTCCCTTAAGTTCGTAAAATAGGACACAGAGGAAGGGGCACAGCAGAGGAGGAAGTCCTGGCAAAGAGGAGGCAGCACATGGATGTGGAAGGAGCTGGGTCCAGGCCAAATCCCTAGAGATTTCCCCTTCATTGTAAATGAGGATAATTGCAGCCTTTCTTGTTCCCTGGGTTTTTAGTGAGAACTCCCTGAGGTTGCAGAGGTGGAGGCACTCAGGACATGTGAGGGGCTATTGTTGGGGGACCGGTGTCACTGACATAAGTGGCCACGGCTGGAGGTGGGACAAAGCCTGGGACCCCTGACTCTGGGTCTCTTAAGGTCCCACTGGCCTGAAGGCCCTGTGAGCGGTGGGCCCAGCTCTCTAGTTGAGGCCAGCAAGGGGGCTGTATATGAAAACTCAGCCCCGCCGTGTGTCACTTCTGTCCCTCCAGTGCCGATTCTCTCACAGACACAGGGTTCTCATGGAGATACATTTTGATATAAAAGTTAGGTTAGCTCCTCAAGGGCAGGGAAAGCGTGTTGGGTGGTTGGTGGATCTGGGTCGCCCAGGCACGGGCATCTCTTCCTCCCGCTGGCCATCTCTGGAGGCATTTGGTGAGAGGCAGTGGAGGGCAGTCTTCAGGCTGTCGGAGGCCCGCCTGGGACAGATGGACTCCCGTTCCCAGAGCACTGTACGGAGGAGGGGCAGTCTCCGGCTGTGCGCCCTGGGCCTCACTGGGGACTTGAAAATGCCAAGTCTCCTGGGGCTCCTCTCTGTGACTTCTTCTGGGCTGGGGACCATGTGCTGACTGCGCCCGTTGCATGTGGCTCTGGTCCTTGCTTGCCACTGACGGAGCCCCTGTACTCGTAGATGGTCCGGTTGGGGAGGACAGATGGTGGCTCTTCTCTAGGGAGACCTCCCAGTGGCAGCTCCAGGCTCCCAGGGCTCTGGTGATGGCCAAGTGCAGCCCCCTCACCACCCTCCCCTTCTGGCCCCAGAGCAGCTGCTTTCTCTGGAGCCCAAGCAGGAGGCTGCCTGTGCCCGGTGAGCTAACTGGTAGAGGGAGTGCCAGAGGGAGTCCCACGGCCTGTCACCATGTGTGAAAGCCCTCCATCAGAGGAATGCTGCTTCTGCGGTTTCTGGAAGTCCTCCTTCACATTGCACACGGCACAGGAAGGAACGGTGGCCGGTTAGCTCCCTCCCTCGTCAGCCGGGCGGGCCCTGCCAGAGGGAGCCTCAGACTCTAGCTTGCTAAGAATCCCTCAGAGTCCGCTGGACCCTGACCAGAGACAAGCTAAAAAAGACGTTTTGAGAACTGGGTAAATACGAATGTGGCCTGTAAGGCAGTATTCAGTTATTGTTCATTTTCTCGTGTGATAACGGCATTGGAGTCAGGAGGAGCGCGCTCCCGTTCTCCGGAGATACCGCTGACGTGGTTGAAGTACTGTGGTGTGTCGAATGGTTTACTCTTGAACGGTTCAGCCAAACATGTGCACGTGCACACACATGCACACACACACACACACACGCGCGCGCGTGCATGTGCACATTAGTTAATATGACAAAATGATGGAACTGTTGAATGTAGGTGGCGGGTATCTGGACGATCATCTTTCCAGCTGTGCGTGTGTGCTCACGCACACAGTTCGAAAATGATCGTAATACAAAGTTGGGGCCAAATAACATGGGCATTTGTTTAATATTTGAGCGCCCACCCTCAGAGCCCACCTTTAGGAGGCCCAGGGGGCACTCAGAACAGGGACGTGAGCAAGCTCCCCAGGTGCTCATGAACCCCCAGAAACCATGGCAGAAACACTGCGCGGGGAGCCCAGCGTATCAAGGTGGAAACCCCAGTCCAAGAGCGTGGTACATCTGGGGCGGGTGCTGGCAGCCCGCTGGGCCATGCAGGGAGTCAGCACCGGGCTGGGCCGCGTGGGCTCCCCAGCTGCCTTCTGCTTCTCGGCCCTGTCGAGGGCAAAGCTGGCCACCCTGTGGGAGGCTCCTCTTGCTGCAGCCCTAACTCCCGCCGCCTGGCCTCTGCCCTCATGTTCCAGCAACTTTCAGCTATGTCAACACCATGCTGTGTCCGACCACGTGGCCTTTGCTCAGACTGTCCCTTCTGCTTGGAATCATCTTTGTTCTTACCTTCCATTTTACATCCTCCCCCTTGTAGTACCATCTCCATGTCCCCTCCTCCAGGAAGCCTTCCCAGGACTGGGTTAGTCATCCTTCTGCGTGCTCCCATAGCGCCTTCAGTATACTGTTGCCCTTACATGATTTTCTACCTACTGGTCTGTCACTCACTAACATGAGAAATCCTGGGGAGTCTTACTGTGGAGCCCTCAGGGCTGTTCCCCCTGTTTCTGTTACATGATTCCTGGTATGGTGTCGGGTCTCACTTGCCCAGCCCCTTGAGGGTGAGTGGGGCACGTGGCTAGTTCTGGCCAATGAGTCCTGCTCTCAAGTGGGAGACCCTCTAGTGCTTTCTTTTTATCTCCAACCCAACAAGCCACAACAAGAGATGGTGGATCCTGGGAGGCCCGGGGCCCAGAGTAAGTGCATGGAGCCCAGCTCCAATGCCCGGTCATGACGGGCCTCACTTTGCTGATAGTAAACCCCGACTGTTCTCAGCCACTGTGACCGGGGGACTTGTTGGCGAGCACTGCAGAACCGAGCCCAGATGGACTGATACACACGCCTTACTCATTCCTGTCCAAACGCCTGGCCCGATTCCTAGCACCAAACAGATCCCTAACAAATAACTCTGCCATGGTTTTTCCCGGCTGCAAAACAGGCCTTGAAGTCTATGCAGCTATTTTAAGACGCACCACCCCGCGTCCCTCGCTGCTTCCCTGGTGACATGGGACCCTCCATGGAGATGCCCACAGTATCCTCGTATGAGGAGGTGCAAATGCCAGCGCATTTTTGGCAGTTCAAACAGACTCCCAGATGGGTCCCATGTTAACTCGGAGCTAGTGACACCCGCTTGCCCTGGCCATGACTCTGGTGAGCAAGGGTGCCCCATCACCCACTGCCCTGCTGGTTACCTTGTCAAGATCCCTGAACCTCAGGCCACCTCCCCAGAGACCATCGGCTGGGGCCCTTCCCTGTTCTGGGTTTCCAGCCTAGCTTGGAAAAGCTCCGAGGGAAAGAAAGTTTGTCTCCGTTGCCTCTTCAGTCCCCTAACCCTATGGCCCTTTGGTCTTGCCGGCTTGCCCCGGTTTCAAGCACACTTCCTCCCCCGTCCCCAGAACCCAAGGACCGCAGGAGCTAAAACGCGCAGCACCCCGCAAAGTCAGTCTGGGAGACTTCAGGCAGATGCAGGGAAATCGCTGGTGCTTTTGGACCTCACCCATGCAGGGGGCCTGCAGCTCACAGGGAGAAGTCACCACGGCAGCTGCCGTAGCCATGGGGCCATCCAGCCCAGACTGGCCCCTCCAGCCTCTCAGCATTTGGTCCTCGAGGAGAGTGGATCCCAGATGCAGGGAGAGGATGGGTGATTCACTTCCTTTCCGCAGGGGTCCCAGCTCAGGGCAGTGCAGAGCAGCCGACAGGGTAAGAGATGGGCAGAGTGTGGGGGGCAGTCACAGAGCAGACCCCAGAAGGCACGGATACGAGACTTCTCCTCACGGCTGAGTGGACGTTCCTAGGACCACAGGTTTACGCAGCCCCAGCCTCAGAAGCCCAGGCTGGCTCCAGGCTGGCTCTCTGGAATCCTCGCTCTCAGCCAGGCTGGTGTGGGGCCCCACTTGTCCAAGAACTCTCCGCACGTCCCGAGGGTGCCTCCAAGGAGGAGCCTGTGACCCCCCCCCCCATCCGTACATGGCTCTGTACTTCCCAAAGTCCCTTTCCTCCGTTATTTCCTCCGATCTTGACAGGCCGAGCAGTCAGGATGGAAGGATACTATTGTCCATGCTCACGAGTAACCGAACTGAGATCCCCAGAGGTGGTCCACACAGCGAGTCCAAGCCTGGGAGACCCTCTGACCAGTGCCTGGCCTGTCTTACTAGGACATTCTATGTAGGAAAGGGTGAGAGTTTGTGAGTTTCATGCTGGAGCTCACACACTCACATACACACACACACACACACACACACACACACACACACACTCAAAATGCTGGTCCCACTGTCATAAATATCCTGGGGGTTCTGGGACAGACATCCTTGTAGGAGACCACTGAGCCTCTGTGAGCAGGGTCTTGACACCCTTCATGGGAGGTCGCCCAGCCTCGGGCTGCCCACGTGGCCGGGAGCCAGGAAGGCCTGTCCCAGCCAAGCCCGGCCTTGGCCTCTGCTCCTCAAGGGGTACGAGTGGATGCCAGCGGCCAAGGGGCTCCTCATGGTACACACGTGGCTGCTGGCAGGTCCCGAGGTCTCATCTGGCTCAGATTCTCATAGTTGGACTCCTGAGCCTGGGGCCTGTGAATGGAGAAAGTAGGTTGACCCCCTAGTACACAAGTGGGGATACACCAACTGCCCAAACCATGCTCCGGCAAAGGGCAGGAAGGAGAGTTGAAATGGGAGCCCGGCCTAGACCCAACAGAGCGTGGGGACTGATTAAGGTTGGAGAGAGGGCAGCGGCGGCATCTGCGGAGCAGGGAGGAGGCCTCCATGTGGAGGACGGCCTCCTGGAGCCCAGAGGCACTGTCTTCTGGAGGGGATCTCATCAGCGGCATCAACAGCCGTCTTTGCGCCTGGTGCCCTCCACACTCATCTCACCAGGCGTGGCCTCCTGAGCTCCAGCTGCTCCCCGACTCCTCCCCCGGGACAACTTAGCACCCATCTCAGATGGAGCTGTGAGGGCTTGCGTCCCCTCCTCCCTGTCGTCATCATCTCAGTCAGCGGCACCAAACCTGGGCTCCCTGGCTGCCTCCCTCGTTCGTGCTGCCCACTTGGGTCCCTGCTCAGCCCCGCCTTCCCTCTGCCCCACCCCTCCGCCTCCTTCCAAGCAGCTGGGCCAGCCTCCGCCTTGGCCAGCGGCCTCCTGGAAAGACTGGGCCCCCACTCTTGTTCGGATGGGGCCCCCCAGGTGCTTCCCATCACCACTCAGTGACTTCCCATCGGCCCCTTCCCGGGTCGCCCCTGAGCCTGTGACCCACCCAGCGGCCGCCTCCCTCCCCGGGGCTCTGCTGTGTGGCCCTGTCCATTTTCTTCACAGCTTGTACTTTAGAATCGACAAGGACCTTGTTTATGTGTTTATTAAATTCTCCACATTAAAATGCGAGCTTCCTGGGGCGCCTGGGTGGCTCAGTGGGTTAAGCCGCTGCCTTCAGCTCAGGTCATGATCCTAGGTCCTGGGTTCAAGCCCCACATCGGGCTTTCTGCTCAGCAGGGAGCCTGCTTCCTCCTCTCTCTCTGCCTGCCTCTCTGCCTACTTGTGATTTCTCTCTGTCAAATAAATAAATAAAATCTTTAAAAAAAAAAAAGTGAGCTTCCTGAAGTTGGGGGGTTTCGCTGTAGCGTTAGTACCCAACTCAGTGTCTGGTACATGGCAGGTTCTCCGTAAATGTTTGAGCCCTCAGCTCTCTGATTTAGGTGTCTCAGTGAGCTCGTGAGTTAGCAACACAGAGGGACATCACACGGGTTCTCAAGAACTCGGGGTACGGCTGAACAGGCAGCTAGAGAGAGGGGCCTGGGCTGGTCGTGTGGCTTGTAAAGCCTTCAGGGCATGGACAGGAACAGTTATGGGAATGCCTGGGCTTGTCCAATAAGCCCTGTTCTGCCTCCCTACGTCCCTGCCCCCCAGACAACCTGCCTGGGGTCAGTGACCTGGAATCTTTCTTCCCCGCAGACCTTCACGTGAACAGACATGGAGAGAGAAGGGGAGCCTGGACAGCAGGGCCAGTATGTCCTAACTTAAACCCTCTGAACGTCTAATGGCATTTTGTTTGCGAAGCCTTCGGCTCTGGGGGAGAATGAGTACCCCGAACTGGCTTTTGTGTGAGTCTGCCTGTTCTAGAACGCTGGAGAGCCCAAGAGGAAACACAGGCTCGAGGAATCACATCTAGGTGCGGACGTAAGATGGGAAAATGACCCTTCAGCATCACGCACACCAGTGTGAGGCCCAGACTGTAAATGCTGGGGGAGGCGTGGGTGGGGAGATCAGGCCCCCGTGGCCTGGTCTGGCCAAAAAGGGCTTGGGAGACTGAAGAGCAGGACTTTGGGAGGCTGCGGAGGAGGTCAGAACCCTGATGGAGCCCCAGACCCCAGCCCTGACCCTCTGCCTTGTCTTTCTCCTTATGCCACGAGCCCCAAGAACCCTGCGTGCCTGGGCCAGTGGGGCCTTAGCCTGGGGTGGGCGAGGGCAGGGTACTCACCGTGGTGGGGTGTCCGGGGCGACTAGGTGCTCTGTGTGAGGGACAGAGAGAGAGAGACAGTGGGGGGGGGAGGCATGAATCTCCATGGTAGCCTCAGGCCACAGGCCCTGCTGTCCGCTCCACCCCACCACGGAAAGTGGTCCGAAGGGACACGCGACAAACACAAGCTAGCCAGGTACGAAGTGTCCTTAGAGATGACCAGGAGTTAACGATGAGAACCCCGGAGGGAGGGACGGCCCAGCAGAAAAACCCGCGTTTCTGAGGACCGCGGCGCCCAGAACGCTTGGTGGGTCTGAAGAACCGGCAAGAAAAGACAAGACGGAGAAGCCACAGCAAAGGCCACAGCCGGGGCAGCTGTGACTAATTTTGGATTTCGTCCCAGGAGAGTGTGAGGCAGGTGCTGCTGACCTGGATGGTCTGAGAGGCTCTGGGAAGCCCCTGCCTAGAGCATGAGCCCATTTCCCATCCAGCTCTGCGAGAGCCATGTGGGGTGAGCGGCGGATCCCGAGGACACCCTGCTGTCACACACGCACACTCCCGCACCTGCGGCTACCAACACCATCAGCTCCCTTCCCCGGTTCCTGATCCAACTGTCCCCGTACTTGTAAGGCCTTCCCTCCTGGCCTAGCCAGACGTCCCACCAGAGTGAGGCGAGCTGTGCCCTGGGCCTCTGTGGCACCTGGGCTCCAGGACAGCCCTGCTCCCCGCAGACTGCAATTGCTCGCTTACTCCCCAGCATCCCATTCAAGGGCCCGGCTTATTCATCTCTGCCTTCTGAGCACCTACACAGCACACAGTAGGTCCTCAGGGTGCTTACTGTAACACAAGGGAATGCTGCTATTTGGGAAGGTCTATGTGAAAGGGCCAGGGAGGAGTCATTTAGTGGGGTGCGGGGAAGAGTGCGAGCTGAGGTTTTTGGGTCTCTATCTCTGCGTCTCTAGGCTAGAGGCAAGTTCCTTCACTCCTCTGACCTCAACTTCCTTAGCGTAAAATGGGCTCCTGCTGGTTTCCCCCCTCCTGAGCTCTATGTAGGGAGAGATGCGAGAAAGCAAGATGAGGCACGGCGGGGGTGGAGGCGGGCACAAACTGTGTTGGGGCTGAGTCCCGCCGGGAGGTCTCCAGGCGGTCTTACCCGGGCGGAGAGCCCCCGCCCACCCCTCGCCCCCACCCTGCTGGGGGTGAGCTCACCTAGGCGGCGGCGGGCTGCAGCGCGGGCGGCCAGAACGCCGAGCAGCAGCAGCGCCTTGAGGCCGAGCGCGCAGAGCGGAAGGGCAAGGGCCGGGGCCGCGGAGGCGCCGTGGAATCGGAACAGGTAGACGCTGGCCTCCGCGCGGCCCAGGCTGTTGGAGGCCGTGCACGTGTAGCGGCCGTCGTGGGCCAGCGCGGATAGCTCGGCGGTCACCTGGTGGCCGTGACCCTGGCCCGGGCTCGGCACAGCGGCCGAGCCATTGCCCAGGGCCGGGCCGGACCAGTCCAGGGCGGGCGGCGGCTCCCCTTCGGCGGTGCAGAGCGCGCGGAAGGCGTGCGCGGGGCCGGGCAGCACCGACAGGTTGACGATCCGTGGGGCGGCTGCGGGCGGCGACGGGGTGGAGGGGTGCGGGAGAGAAAGAGAACTGTGGTCAGAGAAGCGGCGGGGAAGGGCAAGGGCAAAGGGGGACCCCTTTCAGTCCCTTTCAGTCACCAAGAGATTTGGGGCCAGTGGCGCAGAGAGGAGGGAGTAGGCAGGCGCTCTAGCACCACGGTGCCAAGGTCCCCATAGAGATGTGGCCTTGGGCAAGTTATTCGGAAGTTCCGTGCCTCAGTTTCTTCATGTGTAAAATGTGGATCACTTACCTTATGGGGTCGTTGAGATTTGGCAAGTTACTACATGTGAGGTGCTTGGATTCGGGCCTGGCTCACAGCAAATGCTCACTCAATGGTCGTTACTGTGGCTGTAGCTCAGGGCTGGGGGCTGTCTGCTGGTAGGCTTTCAATGGCACTTCCCACTCCCAGACAACCTCACCAAGATCTAGAGTTGAATGTCTGGGTCTATGGCAGGGCAGCGGCAGGCCCTGGGAAGAAACTGACATGCACTTGGAGAGGCCGCCCAGCCAGCCCAAGGGCGCATGGAAAGTTCTGGGCGGAGTGGAACCCAGAACGGGATCCTCACAGCAGGGAAGGCTAGGATTTTTAAAAGTTCCCCAGCTCATTCCAGTGCTCAGCCAGAGTGGAGAACCACTGCTCTAGGGACCAGGGACCCTGGTTCCCACTTTATTAGGGTCTAGCAAAGTACTGCGCACTTGGCGGCTCCCTGGGCATCTCTCTGGCGGGCTGTGTGTGCCCTTCAGTGCACAGAGCACACATCCCACCGTGGCCCTTGCCATTACTGTTCAACTCGTGTCCCTCCCCCTAGACTGAGAGCTACTGGGGCCATTCACTCCCTACGAACTTCATCTGGATGCCCATTCCCCTGGCGCCACTCAGTTCTTCTGAAGGCAAGCATTCTGCACTTTTAACAAGTTCCTGGGCGGCCCGCATCCATCTCCAGGTGTGCGGCCCCCTGCCTGGCAGAAAGGTGCTGTGCATCGCCCCCCTCTCCACGACCGTGGCGGAAGCTGTGCGGGTGCCCCGAGGCCCGGGACACGGCGGGAAGGCGGGCCGGAGGCGGGCGGGAAGGGCGCGGCGCTCACCGGACACGTGGAGCCGGATGCCGTGGCGGCTCTCGTAGCGGTCGTGGACGTCGCCGGCGAACTCCACGCGGCAGAAGTAGCGGCCATCGTCGGCCAGGGCGAGGCGCTCGACACGCAGCGACAGGTCGTTGCGGCGCGGGTTGCCCAGCAGCCGGAAGCGGCCGTGCAGGCTCAGCGCCGTCTGGCAGAGCTCGCTGCCCCGCGCCGCCGCGCACCGGAACACCTGCGGGCCCGCGTAGGCCTCGCCCGCGCGCCAGATGGCCGTGAGCGGCCCGTCGTAGTGGCGGTGCGGGTGCGTGAAGGTGCAGGGCAGCACGGCCGCCTCACCCGCCGCCGCGCTCACCTCGGCCGGCACCTGCATGGACCAGCGCTGCGCCGGCGCACCTGCGGGCGGCGGGGAGCGTCAGCGGACTCTGGGGGAACCCCTCGCTGGGGAGCCTGGAACCCGCAGGACTCAGGGAGCACCCCGGGGGGGGGGTGCCTGGAAACCCCAGGATTTCAGGAAGCATCTCCCTTGTGGAGGCCCAGAAACCCACCGTGTGACTCGAGAGGCACCCTCCGGGATCTTGACTCCCATGACTCTCGAGGTGCCTGGCCCCTCTCCGCCCTTCTCTGGGAGTATTTGCTTCATTTGGGGACGTCCCACCTACAGGCCCATCGACCCCATACTCTTTCCCACCCCTGCCCTGGGGCAGACAAGCCCCAGGATCCATGGTTACCACACAGCCCCAAGCACCCCCCTCCCACGATGGTGAAAATAAAAACACTTACTATGAGCCTCTGTGTTGAGCAAGTTCCCTGCAGTATCTCTTTTGGTTCTCACAAACGATCCTAGATGGAAGCACAGTTATCCTTGAGTTACATGTAACAAACTGAGGCACAGAGAAATTGAGTACGTAAGTAAGGTCACACAGCTAGAAGGAGGCATAGCCAGCTTTCACACAGAACTGCCGGACTCCACAGCCCGCAGTCTAGGGCACTAAAGGGCAGGGAAGCTTGGGCCTCATCCAAGGAGCCCAGCGCTCCCTGTTAACAGAAGGGAAAGAGGCCTCAGCAAGGGATGGTAGGTTCCGAACTTAATGTGTTGAGCTGGTGGATGAGGTCCCTTTAGAATCCAGGTCAACCCAGAAGGGCTTCCCAAAGCCAGACAGGGAGCTGAGAGCCCACAAGTGGTAGATCTTCGTGCTGTGTTCCTGCTCTGGGCTTAGTTTCCTCACTCCCTGTCTGTGAGCCTCTGAAGTATGGTTGAGCTCAGGTCTGGAAGCTATGCTCTGCCTCCAGCTCCAAGATGGCTGGAGAGCCCCTGTCCCTGTCGTCCCATGCGTGTGCTGCTTTGGGGAGGGGCTGAGCAGGTGGGTGAGGGGGAATGTTGGAGCTGGGCCTCAGAGGACCAGGCTAGGTGGGGGTGGTATCTCCCTGAGGAGGGAGGACAGGCTGGTAGGTCTGCCCAGCTAGAACCCCAAATGTAGTTCCCAAAAGGGATCTTGAGAGGGAATAATATAGCTACTCTTATATTTCCCCGAGAGCTTTGTAATTCACACGGTTCTTTTATATACATCCTGTCACATGACCCCCAAGACACCCTGGGGGAGAAAGGCAGGGGGCTATTGTTATAGCTCAGAAAACGGAGGCCCAGAGTCACACAGACAGAAGATGGGAGAAACCCAGCTTTTCTGACTGCATGCCCAGTGCGCTTTACTTACTAAGGGTATGTCGTGCCTTGGGTAGGAATCTCCTCAGCCCGCAGCCGGTGACCACCCATCCTCCAAGGAGCCTAGCCCGTTGATGAGTTATCTACAGGTGAGCACAATCCTCCCATATAGAATCAACATCTATCACGACTCACATGACCATGTTGTTCTTGGGAGCACACACATTCCCGCAAGGTGAGGGCCCTTCTGGGACCCGTCTTGGCTATCATGGACTCATTAAGCCTTTCCTTTTCTGGTGGAAGTTCTAGGCCCTCCCCTGCCTCTCCCCTTCCTCACTGCCTGCTTCGTGCTCTCTCTGCAGCATAGCTGCCTGAGCTGGGGCCTCCAGGTGTGTGCCGCAGGTGTGTGCTGCGGGTGTGTGCCGCAGGTGTGTGCTGCAGGTGTGTGCCGCAGGTGTGTGTCATGGCTGTGTGCCACAGGGGTGTGCGCAGGTGTGTGCCGCAGGTGTGTGCTGCAGCTGTGTGCCGCAGGTGTGTGCCATGGCTGTGTGCCACAGGGGTGTGCACAGGTGTGTGCCGCAGGTGTGTGCTGCACTAGCAGCGTGGGGGTACGAATTGGGTTGTGTGAGTTCTGCCTCATATAAAACCACACTTTGGGCTTAGGCCAAGCTTGCCATCAGATAAAAACCACGAGTTCTGTTTTCACACAATGTGCTTGTGAGCCAGCTCTTGTTTCTGCAGGACAAGTGAATTACGCTTTTGACCCGAAGTGGAGGACATGACATTTATCTCCAGTTAAGAGCTTGTTTGTTCAGTTGTTAATAATCAAAGGGCCTGGTTTCAAATCTGAGAAGCCCTTTCTGAAGCTTTTGCTTGTTTACTCAGCACTCCCAGGTGCAGAAAGTGTTTGCCCCCTCTTGAGGCTCAGCCTGTGCCTCGGTTTCCCTACACTTCCCACCCTCTGTAACCTCAGGCTCCGCTGACCTCCTGCATCTTGCCGGCGTCCTGGAGCCAGGTGCTGATCCCCCCCAGGTAGGTTTTGCTATTGTGCACTCATCGATGAGCAAACACGTAACAGACACGGTCCCACTCTAAGCCAGGTACTTGGATACAAGCCAGGGTTACAAAGATCAATCAGATGGCTTATCAGCCTGCCGGAGCTCACCACTCAGAAAAGGAGACAGATCTGCGAATACATAATTACACTGCAGCCTGACAGGTCCGCTAATGAGGGACACCGACAAGGTTTCCTTTGTCTGAACAAGATTCCTGGCCCATTTCACTCACCACCTCCCTCCCAGCCAGCCCCAGGCCTCTGCTGAGTTGTCCTCCAGAGGGAGGCATTTCCCCAACCCCCCACCTGGGTTTGGCATCCTTCCCCTGTGCCCCAGGGCTGACAGATGTACTTTCTCCATGTGGGCATGGACTAGTCAACTGTGTGTCTTGCCCAGGCACCCAGAAGCTCTGGAGGGCGGATCTGTGGTCATATTTGTGTTGTTACTGTCTCACCAGGCACTTGCCACATAGTAATCGCTGTTGAATTGCTGTCATAGGACAGAAGGGAGGGTGACCAGGCTGGCAGGGGAGGGTGGGGGGGCTGGGGGAAGAGGTGTGCAAATATCAGGCAGGGAATGCTTGGAGGGAGAGAGGAGGCATTCTTTCGGCGGAGCCTCGAGAAAGGAGTGGGATTTGCCAAACCTTGGCATAGACTGAAGGTGCTCCAAGTGAAGGTGGCAGGTGGGCAAGACCACAGAGGCAAGGATGTCAGCATCGGGGAGACAGGGCATGCCCAGATAATGGGGCCAGAGTACACAGTGCTTTGGGTGCTCACTGGGAGACAGTCCTCATATCATTTCATGTGCATGACAGCCCCATGAGGGACTGGCAATAGCCCCTTTAGGAGAAGGGAGGACAGAAGCTCAGAGAGGCAACGTGACTGTTGCAAGTTCATCTGACCAACCAGAAGCAGAGCCGAGGCTTCCCCTTCTGTGGTTCCTGTTCCTACTTTGTCCCCTGTGCTGTGTTGCCCTGGCATGACAGCCCAGTTTGGAAACATCCTGAAGTGTGATACAAATGGTAGCCACCACCCCCTCACCCCTCCCTCTCCCTGGAGGCTTCTGCTGTAGGAGCTGAGCAGGCACACAGAGGCCCTGTAGTAAGATCTTGGCTCCTGTCAGGGGGATTTGTGTTTCCTGTTTACCTGCTGGATGGTGTTTCAAGAGGCCAGCGCCTGGACTCCCCCTTACATGGAGACTTTGGACGCAGGGTGAGGGTGGGAGGTTCCAGCAGGGATTGCCCTGGGGAGCAAATGCATGTGCTTTGGCAGAAACCCAAGCTCCCAGCACCTTGTGACATGTGTTGCTCCCTCCAGCAGCTCTTGTCCATATTTAGCACAAGGGAGGGGATACTCTTGGACTGAAACCTTGGTCCCTGGTTGTAGAGTCTCTGATCTCCCTGCCTCGGGACCGTTAAACCTCCAGGGTCAACAGGAGACCCAGACTCTTCTCGCTATCCAGTACACTGCCACGCCATGGTGGCCCTGCCTTCCAGCTTTGGCACGGCTGGACCTGGGGGACCATCGCACTTGTGCTCATTCTTTCCCCGACTTTTATGAGCACCTGGTCTGAGCCTGGCCCTGTTCTAGGCTCCTTTGCTTACTTACTGGGGGATCTTCGGGCAGGTTACTTAATATCCCAGGTGTCGGGCTCCTCTGCTGCCAAATGGGGTGCCTAATACCTTCCTCACGGGCTTGAGGGTTGAGTGAAGCCACATGTAGCTCGCCCAGCAAGTGCTCGATGCACGTTAGCCCCCTGCTCCCGCCAGCCCTGCAGAGGGAGTGTGGTTGCAAGAGAGCGCGGTCGGGGCGCCGAGCAGTGGTAGGGGGTGCTCTGGGCATACATCTCCAGGTGATGCAGCAGGGGTGAAGACGTGGTACCTTGACATCCCACCTTTTGTAGCTCATGTTGGCATCTTAGATCAGAGGGGCAGTCACAGCTGACCGTGGTCTGGGGCCAGTGTAGGCCGCGGGGTGCTCTCCTCAGAGTGCCCACTTAGCTCATCTCTGTCCGTGCTCCCCTCAGCCTTCTCAGGGCCCTGCTCCCCGCCCGTCCTCCTCTGCCCCAGCTAGGACTTCTCAGCCCACGCTGCTGGCCACAGGAACCATCAGGAGCAGAAGCAGCATCCTGGCTCATGAAACTCTCCCATTCGTTTCTTTCGGGACCCATCACAGCAGGCCATCTCCTCCCCGGCCTTTCCCTGCACCCCACCCCTGGCGCTCCCCTGCACTCCCATGAGCTAGGACGACTGCTGTGATTTGTCTTGCATTTTGGTTTGTTTTTTGGCAGTGGTTCCAAGCTAGGAAATTCCTCTGAGCCAGCCTGTGCTCCGGGCTCACCACCACTGCACACAGGTGGCAGAAAAGGTGGGCCTTGCTCCTGGGAGACTCCAGCAGTTCAGTCCAGGCTGTGACACCCCAGAAAAGTCACCTGACTCCCATGGGCCTCCTTAAAGTAGGGACAAGGGTCCTCGCTTGTAGAGCTATGGTGGAGAGTGAACGAGCTGCTTGTCAAGGCTGACACAAGTCCTTGAGGATGACCGCTACTGTGACCCCTCTACCTGCTTCTCGGAGGGCTGTGGACCAGCTGCACCCAAGCAGTCAGAGCTCCCAGACCGTTGTTCTTCCCACCTGCCTGTTCCCTGGTGGCTCCAGCTTTCCAGGAGCAGATGTGTGGGGAGCCAGAGGGGAAAGACAATGGAGAGTGTGCATGAGCCCCTGGGAGATTTGGGGCTGCCCCAGGGCACTGGGTGCTGGGGGGTGGGTGGCATCGGTATGAAGGAGAAAGGCACAGGAGGTAGAAGGGGGTTTCCTGGATGAATTCCTCCCACTTCACTTTTGCCAAGGGCCTGCCCTGGTCCTCTGCTCAGAGATGTGTTTGGGGAGGAGACTGGGACCTCGGGCACCGGCTCAGGAAGCCCCCGGGTTCCCGAATCGCAGCCAATGCCAAGCTGGTCCTTCGGCCTCCTGTCTAGGTCCGCTGTCCCATGGAGCAGCTCACAGGCGAATGCCTCCAGGGGGGTTTCAGAAAGCGGGATCCCCTCACCTAGCTCCTGGACCTCTCAGGGGAGCAGTGAAGATGCTGCCAGTATGAGAAAAAGTGATCTCCTCCCCCAGAAGCCTCAGCCCCCCTGGGTAAATCTGACCCACAGCGGGAACGCTTGTGTGGTTTGGGTTTTGTTCTCGGACACGTGACTGCTCAGGCTCCTCTAAGTCTTTCCGTCTTTAACTGATTCACAGCAGCTGACCCTCAACTGGAGGAAAGAAATCAACCCAAACCACCTCCACCCCCACCTTGCCTCTCCCCAGGGTATGTGACTTCAGCAAGATTTCCCTGTCATTTATTGCACAATCACTTAGCCCCAGGACCGGGCTGGCAAGCTTTTATCCACGATCTAATCGTCCTTCACAACACCCGACCGGGCGCCAGCGTCCCCACTTTTCTGATGCTCCGAGGAGTTAGGCCACCTGCCCAGGGCCACACAGCTAGTAAGTAGCAAAGCCGGGATTCAAAGGTGTATGTGACGTTGACACTCACGTCTGAACCGCTCTTTTACCAGCCCCGGGTCCGGGCGGGGTCCCCTCCTCCAGCCCCCATTGTCTAAGTGGGGCCCAAACCTAAATCATCCCAGAAAGTCAGCGGAGTTACGTCACTCTGGGAAAAGAGAGCCTCCCCCCTCGTCGCCCCCACCACTGGGTGTGTGGTGGGAGAGGCGGCAACACGGGGTGGGGACCCGTGGGGGCCCGGTCTGGAGTCTCACATCCACCCACACCCCCCATGGGGTGTCTCTGCGCCTCTGTTGTCTCATCCGGGAAAAGGGAATAGAGTAGTTCCTTTCTCAGTTTGTTCCGAGGCTTACGTGCGGTTCTAATTAAAGTGCCCAGCATGTCTAAGAGCCGTCTGTGGGCGGTTGCTGCAATTATCCAGACCAGACCTGACCTGGACGCTGCCTGTGTTGAATGCTCCAGAGGAAGGAGAAGGAGTTTATCATCCAGTCGTGGAGACAGGACCCCAGATGAGGAACATGGACTAACTCAGAGTACCATGATGCCAGTGAAGTCACCGTGCCACGCATGACGGCCCGTGGCCCCACTGGTGGGGGCACTGATGCTGAGTCCGGGAGCCCAGTCACGGGAGGGACCGGTGCTCAGAGGATGGCCTCTGTCATTTATCCTGATAGCCCCCAACTACCCCATGCCTCAGAATGACCTGAGAGACAGGGCCTTGGTGGCACAGTTGGTTATGTGTCCCACTTTTGCTTTTGGCTCAGATCTGATCTCAGGGTTGTGAGACTGAGTGCGCTCTGTGCAGAGTCTGCTGGAGTTTCTCTGTCCCCCTCCCCCCAAAATAAATAAATAAATACATCTTTTAAAAAAAAAGTGACCTGAGAAGACGGTTGAACATGCAGACTCCCGAGCCCTGCTGTCTGATACTCTCCTTCTGCTGGTCGGGCAAAGAGCCAAAGGAACTGCATTTAAGTGAATGGCCCTCTCGCCACCCAAATTCTCAGGCAGTTGGTCCCCAACCAAAACACTGTTCCTGGGGACATCAAGTCACTGAGCTGAGTGACCAATGACGTTGTCACTTAAGCCTGCTGCTGAATCCCATTCAGCCCTTGGGATTCCCACTGGATGCTCAGGGTGCCCTCTCTCATGTGCCCCATGCCCCGTGGGAAATCACCCCCACTCTTACCCCAAACAATCGCGTGCCTCCTCCCCTCCACTCTGGGCTGTGCCCATGGAGAGATACAGCACTTGGAGGACCACAACCCCCGAAAACCCTCAGAGCCTGGACTGTCCTCTCCTGAGCCTGCCCGTCATCTCCCAGGATCCTCACGGCAGGGGCGGGGGGCGCGAGCAGGGGGCCTTTCTACAGGTGGGGCCACGGAAGCCCCGAGAAGTCAGAGGATTGCCCCAGGTCACTGGAAACCGAAGGCAAAACCCGGGCTTGAACTTCTGACTTCCGTCGCCTCTGCTTCCTGGAGTGTCCAGCTGCCCCAGGTGCGAGGAGAGAAGACTGTCCCTGTGGTTTTGTGAGCATCTATTCTGTTCTGAGTGTGGGCCAGAGAGAATAGTGGCAGACTCACCCATCGGGAGGATGCCCACCAAGCAGGCCAGGAGTCTGATGGACCAGTCCATGTTGTAAGCATCTGAAGACCCCAGGCCAGCCCTGCGCTCGGCTCAGCCACCAGGGAGAGGCCTCTCTGACGAGGCTGTGGGAGAAGGCAGGGGAGGGATGGGCGGTGTGCCCAGGTCTGCACCCCTACTGGGCTCCAGGCATGGGAGGAACTGGGGAGACGTGGTCAGGCAGCCTGGTTATGATTTGATGAGGCCCGTGGGGTTTAGTCATGTGGAAAACTAACAGGGGAACCACTCGGATGATTTTCCAGGACAGGAAACAGAGAAGTACATGAGGAAGATGAAGGGTCCTTTCCATGGCCTCTGGTCCCTTTGGAAAAACTGCTGTTCTTATGGTGCCGGCCTTCCCTTCCTCCTTCCCTCCCTCTCCCCTTCCTTCTTCTCTTCTCCTCCCTCTTTCCTCCCCCTCCCTCCCTTCTCTTTCCTTCCTTCCTTCCCTCTTTACCTTCCTGCATTTTTTTTAAAAGATTTTATTGATTTATTTGACAGAGAGAGAGATCACAAGTAGGCAGAGAGGCAGGCAGAGAGAGAGGAGGAAGCAGGCTCCCCGCTGAGTGGAGAGCCCAATGTGGGGCTCGATCCCAAGACCCTGGGATCATGACCTGAGCCGAAGGCAGAGGCTTTAGCCCACTGAGCCACCCAGGCGCCCCTCACCTTCCTGCATTTTTAATGCGCCAGTATAGGTTTTCTTTTTTCATTTCTTTCTTTCTTTCTTTCTTTTTTTTTTTTTTCAGAGAAAGAGAGAGAGGGAGACAGTGTGCTCCGGAGAAGGGGGTCAGAGGTGGGCCTCACAATGGGACTCAAGCTCACCACCCTGAGATCATGACCTGAGCCAAATCAAGAGTCTGAGGCTTAACCAACTGTACCACCCAGGCGCTCCCAGCATGGGTTTTCATTTTGATGAAGCTGTCTTACTGTGACCATACAGATTTTGAAGTCGTGATTATTCCCAGAAGAATAATCATCTCGCAAACATAGTCATCACTGACAATGGTTACATGACCAAGCTGCATAAAAGGGAAATAGTGAAATTATTAAGCAAATCAATCCAGACAAACATGTCAGCGTGCTCAGAACATCAAAATGCCAGGTAGAAATATCTTATTCCAGGGGCAGAAACTTTGTAGCTGTTGCAAGGTTGCCAGAAAGCTGGACAGAAGAGCAACCAGGTAAGGGCCTGGCAAAGGTGAGCCAATCCGTGGCGAGAGGGAAATGTTTTAGTGAGGATAAAGGCTAATCTGTTATGGGCGGGGGGCTCTCAAATACAATAGATTAAAAAAACAGAAGGTGATTTATCTCCCATACGACAGTCCCAAAGTGAGCTGTTTATGTTGGCAGGTGGCTTGCCTCTCCTGGTCATTCTGGGGTCCAGGTTCCTCCATACCCTTACACCCTCACCCCCTTCCCCTGCGACATTGTTAATGCCTCTTAAGGCCGAAGGTGGGAATCAGGCTTGTTCACCAGGAAAGACAGAAACTCTAAGTCAGTTGGCTTGTGTTTTGGGTTATGCGTGATCCAAAAGTTGTATACGTCACATCCACTCCCATCCCACTGGCCCCGCTGCAAGGGAGCCCTGGAAGTGAGGGCGCTAGTAATGCGATGCTATGGCCACAAAGTTACAATTTATTACCGTGGAAGCAGGGAACAGATGTTGCCAGGTACTTAGTTACCTGTCTCTGCTACGAATGTTTGCTAGAACTCTAGAAAACTAAACTTTGGAAAAGAATCAATTCCATGGGGCGCCTGGGTGGCTCAGTGGGTTAAGCTGCTGCCTTCGGCTCAGGTCATGATCTCAGGGTCCTGGGATCAAGCCCCACATCGGGCTCTCTGCTCAGCAGGGAGCCTGCTTCCTCCTCTCTCTCTGCCTGCCTCTCTGCCTGCTTGTGATCTCTCTGTCAAATAAATAAATAAAAATCTTTAAAAAAAAAAAAAAGAATCGATTCCATAAACTCTAAGATGTCATTGAAGGGTGCGCCCTTATTTTATATAGCACAGAGAGAGAGAGAGAGAGAGAGAGAGAGAGAGAAAACCTTTCTACCTTTTTATAACTGTGAGATGCCATTGACTATAACATGTACCCAGAATTCAGAAATGTGAGAAACTGGGCATCTTAGAATGGATGAGATATAGTTCCTTTTTAGCATTTTGGTTATATATTCTCAGTTAAGAAGAGACTTTTCAGAGAGGTCACTGGTCCTCCCGATACTAGAAGGAGCAGAGGGAAGAGAGGCAAGTCTGTGATTAGGTCAGGGTTTTACAGATTCTCTTCCTCAGTTTAAAGAGGCTTTTCCTTCTACTCCTGGTTTGCTGAGAGTTGTTACCATGAATTAGTGTTGAATTTTCTCCAAAATGTTTTCTGCATTTATTGAGATAATTCCAAGATTTTTCCTCTTTAGTGAATTACATTGATTGATCTTTCTTATTGAACCAGCCTTGTGTTCCTGAGATAAACCACACTCAATGGCGATATATTATCCCTTTTACATATTTCTGGGTTCAATTTGCTAACGTTTTTTTGAGGATTGTTTACGACCCTGAGGGATATTGATCTGCGGTTTTTGTATCTTGCAGTGTCTGTGCCTGGTTTTGGCATTAGAGTAACTCTAGCCTCATAGAAGGAGTCAGGAAGTGTGTCCTCTTCTCTTTTCCGAAAGAGATTATGAATTGGTATTACGTCTTCATGAAATATTTGGTAGGATTCCCCACTTGAACCAAATCGTCTGTGCCTGGAGTTTTCTTTTTGTTGGAAGGTTTAAAACTATGAATTTAACTTGTTTGACAGAGTCCTATTCGGATGATCTATTTCTTCGAGAGTAAGTTTTGGTAGGTCATGTGTTTCAAGGAAATGGTCCATTTCATCCGAGTTGTTGTAATTATGGGCACAGAAGTGTCCATAATATTCCCTTATTGTTTCTTTCATGTCTGTGAGGTCTGTAGTAATATCACATCTTTCATTACTGAATAAACAGTACTTTGTTTTATTTTTATAGGTTATTAAAATTTTTTAAATTTAAATTCAATTAACACATAGTGTATTATCAGTTTCAGAGGCAGAGGTCAGTGATTCATCAGTCTTCTATAACATCCAGTGCTCATTACATCACATGCCCTCTTTAATGCCAGTCACCTAGTTACCCCGTCCCCCCGTTTCCCTCCCCTCCAGCACCCCTCGGCTTGTTTCCTACAATTAAGAGTCTCTTACAGTTTGTCTCCCCTCTCTGATTTCATCTTATTTTTCCTTCCCTTCCCTTATGCTCCTCTGTTTTGAATGAACAGTACTTTAAAAAGTCCAGGTTCAAAAAATGTTGAACCTGTATCATATCCCTGGTGCAATGTTGGACACACTCAGACATATGAAAAAGCAGCTTCCAGTAGTGGTTTCCAGTGTAACCAAGCGTGCTGGGACCAATAACTCGGCTCTCAGCCCCAAGCCTCCGTTTCTGTACTCAGCTGCAGATGCTGAGGCTGACGCTCTGCAAACCACATTCTTCAGACACGCTTGCTGGCCAGTGGAAGGCACGAGAGTGAGATGGGTAGCTGGGCTTCCAGCTCCTGTCAGCGTGGCTCCAGCACCTGATGAGAGTTCTGGGTCCAGCTTCTGGGTTCTTTTGGCAGTGGAAGCCTGCTGCGTCCCCTTGCGGGTACAGCACCAGCCAGTGCCCCCCTCCCACACTATTGTCTGAGCTTTAGTGGACCCCTTCATAGAGCTGGCCAGGAGCTGTGCGGGGCCCCTTCCTCTGAGCTCTGAGACCTTGGTAACCTTACCTCTCCCTAACCCCAGCCCTGGGAGGGGTAGCGGCGTCCTCTAGTTACTAATACTTGGGCTGCTCAGAATCTCCTAGTTTTTCATTTATCATTCAATTATTTGTGTAACCAGCGGGTTATACTGTGCTTGATACATGAGCTCGGCAAATCTCAGTTTAAGAGTTCAATTCTCTCCAAGTTCATCTCTAAATTCAACAATCTCAATCAAAATATCAATAGGCTTTTTTTTTTTTTTAAACAAGCAGATTCTTAAATTTTTATGGAAAGTCAACAGAACTGGAAAAGCCAGGATTGGTTTTTGGAAAAGAAGAATATATTGGGAGGACTGTGGCTCTGTGATTTTGAGAACCATGATAAAGGTTCCGAAAACAAGATAATGTGGTATTAGTGGGATGATGGCCACAAAGACCAGTGAGCCAGAACTGAGAGTCCAGAAATACCAACGCAGCCAGCTGATTTTTGATAGAAGTCCAAAGGCACGGGTGCCCGGGTGGCTCAGTCGTTGGGCATCTGCCTTCGGTTCGGTTCATGATCCCAGCGTCCTGGGGTTGAGCTTGATATTGGGCTCTCTGCTCGGCGGGAAGCCTGCTTCTCCCTCTCCCACTCCCCCTGTTTGTGGTCCCTCTCTCACTGTCTCTGTCAAATAAATAAATAAAAATCTTAAAAAAAAAAAAAAAAAGAAGTCCAAAGGCAATTTGATGGAGAGAGCACAATCTTTTCAACAAATGGTTTTAGAACAGTTAGATGTCCCTATACCCAATAGATAAATAAATATAAATAAAAAGGACCTTGACCCATAAATCACACCTTATACAAAAATTAACCAAAAATATATTATAGACCAAAATGTAAAATGTAAAACTATCAAATTTCTAGGGGAAAACAAGGAAAAAAATCTTTGTAAGCTTAGGTTAAGCAAAGAGTACTAATTAAAAAGATGATAAACTGGATTTTGTTAAAATTAAAAACATTGGCTCTCCAAAAGACACTGTTAACAGAGTGGGAAGACAAGCCCCAGACTGGGAGCAAATACGTGCAAATCTCATCTCTGACCGAGGATCTGTATCCAGAATATACAAAGAACTCTCGAAAACCAACAATAAGAAAAGAATAATTAAAAAAAAATTCAGATTCAAACAGACACTTCACCAACAAAGATATGTGATGGATGGCCAATAAGCTGATGAAAACACACTCAACACCCTTAGTCATTAAGGAAACGCAAATTAAATTTA